AGAGTGCTTGCCTTGCATGCATGAGGCCCTGGGTTCGATTCCTAAGCAAAAAGCTGGAAGTGTCACTGTGGTTCAAGTGCTAGCCTTGAGCTGAAGAGCTGATGGACAGCAACCAGGCCCAGAGTTCAAGCCCCACGACTGGAAGAAAAAAAAGAAACATAAAAGGTAAGGCAAATAGAAAGTAAATTACAAAATTTTAAGTTTAAACCAAATCACTTGGCAATTACTTTTATGTAAATAGTCTAAATATTTCAATAAAATTCAGAATTTTTCTGAGAAAAAAGGCAAGACCAAATAATAGTAACCTATAACAAATATATTTTCAATACAAATACAAGTTAAAAGTAAAAGGATTAGCTGGGCAAGGTCTACATGGTGAGACTTTATTTTTCAAGGAAAAATTTTAAGATTGAAAGTCTATATAATGCATCACAAGTCATAAGGAAGCTGGAATAGCTATCTCAGTAGCAGACAAAATGAGCTTCACCAATAATTATGAAAAATTAATTCCTCAAGAATATAGAACAATATTAAATGCACACACATCTTACCATATAGCCTCAAAATATATAAGGCAAAAAATGAGCATTGCAAAAGAGAAGTAGACAAATCTATAATGATATGTTTTAATTCTAATCTCTCTATAATTGATAGAACAACTAGTAAATAAGGCTACAGAAGACTTAAATAACATCATTAATCAAATTACTCAAATTGACTTACAGAAAACTGTAGCAGACTATAGAATTCAGATGCTTTTCAAGTGCACATGTAATATGATACACACCAAATAGAGCACTATACATTGAGCCATAAAATGTGTGGAAATAAAATATGTACAAGAACTAAAATCATACAAAGCATATTCTTCAATTGTCATGAGAGTAAACTAAGTGAAATTGTTAAGTCAGTATGTTAAAACTAATGTGGTATAGTTTAAAGAGTGAATAGCTTTACATGTTTATTTTTGAAAGCATCCAAAGTCTAATAACTAATACTGTATGAATGTAGAAACTCAAAAGAGGAAGGAAATAATGAAGAGTAGACGTGAACAAAAGAAACCTGTCAAATAAAGCCAATGAAAACAATCCTAAAATTGATTAACTTACAGATAAACTGATGAAAGAAAAATGACAAATATTTACTAATAATGGGAATACGAGAGGGAAGGTTAATTTATGCAGGAAATTCACACTCATTCAAAGTGTTGAGAATATTATGAACAATTTTGTCCAATGTGTCCCTAATTTCAACTTTCATAAAATAGATAAATCCCTTAAAAAGCAAAACTTAGCAAAATGGATTCGTAAAGAGAAAATCTGAATAACTCCATTTAAACTGAAGGAATTTAAGTCTTTTGTTGTTATTGTTGTTGTTGGTCGTGGGGCCTGAACTCTAGGCCAGGGCACTGTCCCTGAGCTTTTGAGCTCAAGGCTAGCACTCTACCACTTGAGCCATAGTGCCACTTCCAGCTTTTTCTGTTTATGTGGTGCTGAGGAATTGAACTCAGGGCCTCATGCATCCCAGGCAAGCACTCTACCACTGAGCCACCTTCCCAGCCCCAAGGAATTTAATTCTTAAGTTTATTCCCATAAAGATAACTCTATATTCAAATGGCTTCACCAGCAAATCTCACCAATATTAGAAAGAACAATAGCCATCACACTCAAACACTACCAAGTAGAAGTTAGAATGTTCTTATTCTATCAATCATTGTCACCTTGATATCCCCTGCCCCCATGTAGAGTTGTCTCCTCAAAGTTTCCAATTTTTGAGAATGGCAATGTCACCTGGGTGGGGTTTACTGAGTTTGGATGGAAACTTTAAAGGCCTTGGTCCCAGATTAGTCCTTTTCCTCTGCCCTGCATGAGAAACCAATGTGGCCCCATAGTCATTCAAAGGCTCATCCCTACGGGAGTCATGCCAGGTTCCCATGACATGATTCCAGTTCCAGGGGAAGACTGAGAAGAAGATTGCTTCCTGCTATTTTATAGAATCATAATATCAGGCCTGCAGAGTGGTGTTGGAAGCCTGATGTTGAGTGAAGGTCATGTACATCAGACACAGCAAGTTCAGGATTCTGCACTACCAAGAGTTCAATATTAACCTTGGGTTTCTGAAAAAAAGCAAGTAAGCAGGAGGAGGTACTGAATTCAAACCCAACACACACACACACACACACACACACACACACACACACACACACCAATCACCTTGCACTCTGAAAACCCTTTGTCTCAAGCCAACACATCACATGGACCCTTGAAAGTGACTCTTTGGAGCCTTTGAGATCATTTGCCTTTCTGACTGATATTTCCTCTTGCCTATACTTGGTGTAGTGGTGCTCTTGAAGACAAGTTTCATTTATGACAGATGCAGAATGGACATTCTGGGCATAAGAGGAGCTTGTTGTGGTAACCACAGGCCCCTCTCTTCTCCCATTGGTGGAAGGCAGCAGTGGGCCAGCATTGAGAGAGAACACGTTTTTGAAATGCACTGATTACAGTCTAAAGAGCCATTGGTGGACAACAGAAAATTCTAAACAGCCAATGACCATACAACACACTGTCATGCACATTGTCTTGAAGGTTCTGGGTAAGACCTAGATGTGTATCCATCATTCACAGAGCCCAGTCACAACTTTCACTCCGCCCCATTGGAAGCTAGTGTTCCTGGAGGGGTAGCAGATGCACAGTGAAGTATCCATGAGAACCAGTGTGTGTGGCGGTAAACAAATAGCATGAGGGAATTTCAGAGGTAGGAATATCTATGTTGTTTCAACCCAAGTAAGTGATTAGTCACATTGTAAGTAAGAACAACGTTGCTACGTTTTCTCAAGAAGAGAGATAGGCAAGAAGCCAGGAGCCATGCCTTTGATGACAAAAGACCTGGAAGAGGTAGTTCCTACATCTAAATAGGAAGAGGTGGATACTCGAGATACTTTATGTGCACAGATGAGGCCATAAACAAGTACTAAGTGCATTTTCCCTACCTGTTTTCTAGATCTTCACTATTTCACATAGGACTATGAATTTTATAATATGTTTTGATCGAACTTTTTATCAGCAAAAGCCTGGCCCAAAATTAGAAAAAAAAATATTCTTCTGAAGCCTTACATATTCTAGGAACATTTCTACCAATATCAAAACCAAATGCATCATATAAAAAGGAGAACCGGAAGACTAGTATCTGTCAGGATCAAAAACACAAGAATTCTTAACAAAACATTAGCAAGTGGGTGCTAACAATATAGGAAGGATGGCATCCCGCAGAATAGTTCATGCCAGCAATGTAAGGTTTAATAGTCTAAATCACTCAAATCACCCTATTAGATGAATGACAGAGGAAAGCATATTCCAGCTGATACAGGAAAACATTTGATGTGGGTGAAATAATCCATTTGGTAGAGGCACCACATTTCTACTCTTAGACAAGTTTCCCTAGAACAATGACCTTTAAGGAATTTTCTTGTTAATAGCCTTCTCTAAGTTAACTTCTTTCTACACAATCTAATTGAGAAGAGTTATCTGAAGTGCCAAGTGTGCTATGAGTAGCATCAATTGTGACTACAAGCAGATCATTCCCTGTTAGAGGACCTAAGATCTAAGCACCTCTCCGAGGGATGTGAATATAAGCCCTGAAAACTAGGAAGTGCTATTTGTTTCCTTAAGCCTTACTCTTTCAAATAGTCAAGGCAAAAATTACCAATCCCAGGTTCTAGATAAAGAATGATGTCTTCTTTCTTGCTTGATCATGCAGGTAATTTACACACAGTGATTTACTTACATGTATTTTCTCATAGTTATTTAGCCCAGACATTCTAATGGTTTAAAAAGAAACGTATCAGGGCTGGGAAGGTGGCTCAGTGGTAGAACGCTTGCCCTGCATACATGAGGCCCTGAGTTCAATTCCTTTGCACCACATAAGCAGAGACAGCCAGATGTGGTGCTGTGGCTCAAGTGGTAGAGGCTAGCCTTGAGCTGAAGAGCTCAGGGGCAGCGCCCAGGCCCAGATTCAGGCCCCATGACCGAAAAAAAAGAAAAGGAACATAGCTATGCATATGTATATTCTATTTTATTGTATTGTATCAAATATTGAATGTCAAAAGATAGTATGAAAGAAGCAATCTGGAGATGGCCCTGACATAGATGCCCACTAAATGGTGGTTGTGCACAATTTGCTTCTCTTAGTAGGACCGCTCTTCTTTCTCAGCCTACACCCACTTTCCTCAAGGATCCTCCTCTCCTTATGATTTTCAAGTGACACACTTTCTCAACTCATTATTTTTTGCCCACTTATCAACCCCTGCTCTTTAGCCTAGCCCTGCCCACAAAAACCTGTTCCCAACAATGTCCTTTCTTTCTTTGAGACAGTGGGTTTTCACAGCCTGCTGCGGGAGTGGTGGGCGTTCCCCAGTGCCGAGAGCTTTGGCCTATTTTCGCCAGATAAATGGCAGGCAAGGGGGCCTGAGACCAGGGTGTAGGCATGGGGACAGACTGGTTCTGGGATTCTGCCTGCCCCTCCCCCAATCGTGGACAGTGTTCTTTTGTGTGACTCAGGGAACGGGGATGGAAATGGGAAGTGTTTGCGTGGCTAGACCCACCACGGCTCAATGGTCTGAGGATTGTGACTAGCATGGGAGTGTTGCCAAAGACACCCCCCACACACACACACACACTCTTAGATTGTCTCTAGATTTCCTAAGATCACTCATGTCTGTCACTGACCCAGCCACGGGTCCCTGTACAAAAAGAAAATCATAATCCAGACTGGAGAGACAAGAACAGGAGGAAATAATAGAATAGCACCATTCGTTGCCTTTTGGGACAAATGCTTGAATTGTTATTCCTAAAACTGAAAGGGAATGATTGCGATTGCATCTGAAACAAAAAGGCAGTTGAGACAGTACAGGGCTTAGGAGCTTAGGGTATCCATTCAGGAATGGCTCTGCTTCCTAGCTTGCCATTCACTGGCTGGGCCCCAGACACTTGGTCCTCAACCTGACTCAGTCTCAGTTTTCTCATCTGGAAACTGGAGATGATAATATCTTGTGCTGTATTCAGACATTGTCTGGACAATATTGTGAGACAGCGGTGAATGTTTGTTCCCCTTGGGGTAAGAGCTCAAGAGATGCAGCCAGTACTCCTTCCCAGGGCAATGGTAGGAAGGAAAAATTAGAGGTGCACCTTATTTGTTTCCCTAAAGTATATCATAATCTAGCTGGAGAAGCAAAACGAAAGGATAAATCATGTAATTCAGGACAAGATCAGCGTTATTCACAATAGCCCTTGTAAAGATCCTGAAATGGAGTCTTTAGGAATAATGAAGAAAGGGATGAAGATGACACACGGGCTACATAAAAAATTTAATGTAAAAAATTTGCAATATTTAAGTATAGCAATTCCTGAACTTCTTTCATCATCGTTAAATTCAGAGGCAGCAGAAAATTCCTCAAGATTTTAAAGGCTTTTACATAGGCCTATACTTTAACTTTTGGTCTTAATGGGCATGAGAGAGGGGGAGGAGAAGGGGAGTGTAGAGGGAAGAATGGGGAAGGAGGAGAAAGGAAAGGGAGAGAGAGGGAAGTAAAGAAGAAGGGAGAGGGAAGGGGAGAGAGGAAGAGGAGGAGGGAGAGAGAGAAGGAGAAAGAGGGAAGAAGAGAGGGATATAGTAGAAGGAGAGAAGGAGAGAAAGGAGGAGGAAGGGAAGGAGGAGAAGGGAGAGAGGGAAAAAAGAAAGATTTATTTTGTATTTGCAGAACACATTATTTCACTTTTTATTAAGTAGTTGTACAAAGAGGTTATGAGAAAAAAATTTTAATAAGATAACTGCAGAAACAGCCATATAGTCACAAAGTTCCTCACCTCTGCCTCAGATCTTAGACACTGTGCAGTAAACTACATTCTGACTCTGCCTCAAATCTTAGACAATGTGCAGTAAACTACATTCTGACTCTGTTATCCATGTCTTTTAGGTGCATGAGGTCTAAACAGGGAGAGGTCAAGGTCGCCTTTTGGACACTGTCATATATCTGTGTCCTCAATGCTTAGTTATCTAAAAGAACAAACACCGGTCAGACCATGAAAAAAATCACCTTCCCTCCAAATAAAAATGTTATTATTAAATATTTCACATATTAACACTGGGGAAATTTGATTACAGGAGAGGAGCAATCTATCTTCTAATCTTTTTCTCTTTACCTTTTCTACTCCACTACTTTGGAAATTGGGTTTTTTTATCCTTTAGTCCATCTATTAAATTCTTCAACTGCTACCAGCTATTTAACTTTCAAAAGTTCAAGCTTCTTGTATGTTCGGGTTTATAGAATCCTGAATATTATCATTATGATATCACATAACTTTCTGAATACCACTGTCTCCCCTTATTTCTGGGGCAGAACATATACTTGATATATTCTTTCTATACAATTTTTGTATATGGAAAGTTGCTTTTTCTGCTTGCAAATTTTAGAGTCTTCCCTTTAGAGATTTCCTCAGGAGTGAGAAAGTTCCTGGTTAGCCTTCTTTGTAAAAGTAAGACTAAAAAATTCTATCTCTGAGCAGGTTCAAGGAATTGCCAACTGAAAGTTTCACATTAGAAAACTTATCTGGACACTTCAATACCCACCAATTTTGTATCTGTAGACTTTACTCTTCGATTTATTAGAGCAGGCTCTTTGAGAAAGTTCAGCCTGGTGGACTGATGGTCACACAAATGACCTAGCCACCAGTGCACTGTGGAGTCGAGAGGAGAGGTTGAGAGTGGTACATCACAATTGAAGGTTTGTGCTTCATATATGTATATGATTGTTTATGTATGTGTACTGTACATCATTATGTTAGATGGATATTAGCTCACACCTGTAATCCTGTCTACACAGGAGGCTGAGGTCTGAGGCCCCAACTCAAAGCCAGAGGCAGAAAACCCCTTGATACCCTTCAATTAACTACCAAAATGTCAAAAGTGGAACTGTGACTCAAGTAGTAGAACACTAGCCTTGAGCAACAAAAGCTCAGGAACAGTGCTCAGGCCCTGAGTTCAAATCCCAGGACCAGCACACACAAACACACACGCACACATACACACACTCACACACACACACACACACACACACACACACACACACACACACATACACACAACCTTACAAAAGTAACCATAACCATATATTAACCCACAAAATCTTTCAACAAATCCTTGAAACAAATAGGACCATGTACACATATGCTAGCAAAAGGTGATAGCCATTGTATTTGTGAGACCTGGAAGTAGATAATATTGGAGTTTTTAAATTATAAAACATAAGCAAAAATTGTAGTAAGTAGAGATGCAAACAGAAAGCTCCCTAGGAGAAAAGGTTGAATCATCAATGTTTCTAAAGAGAAAGAAACATGGAAAGAAAAGGGCAGGAAATGAGGGCAAAGTCCTTTCTTTAGCTTCCATTTGCAGGAGGAACAGATTCCCTTTGGTGGGGTAATGAGGAATTGTGAGCCAGAGATTGATATGGGCAGATTCAAATTTTAGGAAGGCCTCACTGCAGTTATAAATCAATGCAGAAGATTTCTGGTTTGGCAGGGGAATAAATACAAAGCGGAACATGAAAATGAAATGGTGGAGGGCAGAGTAAATGGGAGAGATATTTACAGTACTCTATGAACTTGAAAGAACATGTCAAACACATTCTCTGGCTCCAACATTATGGTAGCCATTTGCCACTTGTAAGCACCCAGCATTTGAAATGTGCCTAGCACAATGAAGAAATTGAGTTTCCAAATTTATTTCATTTTAACGCACTTAAATAGCCATAGGACTTCGATTGGACAGTGTAAACTTAGAGGGGATACTTGGGGGGGGGTGTACTTCTAAAATGCTAAAAGTATTTTTGCTGAGATATCATTGGCACAAAATAAACGCCACCTCGTGATGTTTGACATGTGTGTCTTTCATGAAATCAAGGCCACCTTCTAGATATTGGGTTTAGCTATCATTCCCAGTTTTATAGCAAATTAATACATTTGAGAAGTATATGTTGGAGAAGCATTAAAAGAGTCTCAGTGTTTTCAGGTGTGCCCTTCCCATGTGGGGATGTGAGGCTCTTACTACACCTGTGCAGGAAGTTCCAGGCATCTCCTGGATGTCCGTGGCATCAGCCGTAGGGGATGCGGATGCTGCCAGATTACCTCCCCATCTTCTGAATGGCTGGTGAAGCAAATTCTTTGGGTTTTGAGGCAGGGTATCACAATACCCTGAGCACAAGGTAGCCTTTTTCTCATTCTCCTTACCTCAGCCTGCTGAGTGCTGAGATTATAGGTGTATACCACTATGTCTTTCTTTAAAGCAAACTGAGAAACTAGTTATGTTGACTTATGAACTCTCCCTATAAGCTCCTTTATTTTCTGACAAAGATGAAACAAAGGAAGATATTCTTAGGAGAGGATCACAATGTCTCAATAGCGATGTCCATATGATCATATAAAATGATCTTTATCGAAATGATTTCCAAGAAATGGAAACAAGAGGATTTTGCTGTTTGAAGTTATTTCTTTTTTTTTCCTTTTTTCCCTTTGGCTTACTCCTTGTTGTCATTTTTTTTTTTATTTCTGTACCCTTTGTCTTATAATATGTTTGTCTGATTTGGGGAAGGGAAGAGAAGGGGAATCACAGAAATGGTGGGACAAAGGGTAAACCAATTCAACAGTGATTGTCACTAGACACTATGTTGGAAATGAACTTTACAACTTGAGGGGAGGGGAATCATAAGGGGGTAATGGGAGAAAATGAAGAGGTTTTTAAGATAGAGCCTTATCTGAAAAAGTCAAAAGGAATCTTTTCCAGATCAAAGCTTACTTCCACAACCCATGGAGTAAAAAGTTTTCACCTAGTTGAAACATATGGAAACATGCTCATTATTTCCTATGCCTGTGTAGATTTTGAATTCTTCATATTACTTTTCCCAGGCATCCAGATGGGTTCTAAGAAAAGCTCTCTTGGGATTACATTTCATCTGCATGGTTAAAAGTAGGAAGATTGTCACACTCCAAATATAGTGGTGCTTTCTAACCCAATTTGCAGATTGAAGAGGCTTAAAATTCTCTAATTAAGGGTATGACAAATACATCAATGTATTCTCACAGACTTACCTTCATTAGAAATTGTACAATGAAAAAGATGAGAGAAAGTGAATCCTAATAAATCCTTTTTGGGTATCTTTTGTCTAGTTATTATAGAGATACACATCCTTAAATTTAACACATACAAGAAATCTGCAGAAAGCTCAGGCAAATGGATCTCAGGGGACTTCAATAGACTTCATTTTATTAATTTCTATTTTCATGGGGCCATAGAATTTCCTTTTGCCAATAGTTCACACACACACACACACACACACACACACACACGCACACACACGCACACACACACACACACGCACGCACACACACACACACACACACACACACACACACACACACACACCTGTGGGCTACAGAACAGGTGACAAACTCAGACTCAAAGGGGGCCATGGAGGATATTTAAATTCATTTCTCCACCTTCAGGCAGAACCATGGAAATATGCTACTATCATATTTCAGTAAAGAAGATTCTAGGACCTAAGAACAACAAAACCCTTCAGTAACTTCCATTGTCATCCTTCATTGTAGTTGTCAAGATATTTTCAATCTACGAGCCTTGAAAATAGATATGTGACAGAACTGATCTCTGGATGCCAACATATCTGCCAACTGCAGATAATGCCCTAGAAATGGTAGAAAACTTACCTGTGCACTTTAGGAAAGGAGCAGTAGAAGTCCTCACCATTCCTAGAAGGGCTCAAAGCCAGAGTAACTGACATTCTCTTCAAAATACAATCCTACATACCACCTGTCCCATTTCTATTTGCTAACACTAACTAAGATTTGGGATTTTCACATTTTATTTGCTCTTTTTTGTTTCTTCTACGTATCTCCTTGCTCTTCATTGTTCCTTCTCCTTTCATAGAAAACATAGATATGAATATGTGTCTTAAGTGAATTAAGACAGATCCAGAGAGATACAGGTTGTGCGCTTTCCCTTGCTTGTGGTAGCTAGACTATGCCTACAAATCTACAAGTAAACACACTGGATGGTAAAAAGAAAAACTCTGGCACACGATAAGTTATACAGGTCACTAGGAATTCACACACACAATGAGACCATATTCTTAAGAGAGGAACACAAAAGTGCATTACGTATATGTGTCTGATAATATAAAATAATATTTACCAAAATGAACTCCAGGAAATGAAAACAAGGTTTTGTTCTTCATTGCTGTTTTTGTTTTCTTTTCCTTTTTGTCTTGTTTGGTCATTTATCTGTCTTTGGTGGGGCAAAGAGGGACATAAAAATGGTGGGACAAAGGGTACATTTGTTAATGCAGCAATGGTATTTACTAGACACTGTGTTGAAAAATATCCATAAAACTTGTGGGTGTGGATAGGAAGGAAAAACTGGGAAAGAGCCACGGAAAGGGTGACATTGTCCAAAAAGAAATGTACTCATTACCCAACTTATATAACTGTAACCCCTTTGTGCATCATATTTATAACAATAAAAACTGCATGCAAAAAGAATTTAAAAGAGAAGATACTCTTTAAATGCCGTTTATCTATAATTATTAGACACCTAGATTTTGAAAAAGGAGAGAATTGGTCCAAACATGGATCATTACTGATTTTCACTATTAACAGATCTGAAAGAAGAAACTAGAATTACATTAGGGAAAAAAAATCACACCCCAAGATTATGACAAGGAATAACTAGTCAAAAATGTCTGTCACAAATAAGGAATACCTCAGGCCAATATCCAAATTCTTTTTTAAAAAAAATACATTCTACCTCAATTCATCTTACCAATTCCATCATTCTGTAGACTTTGTC